TCCAGTGGCGGCGTGCTTTACACCACCGCATCCGACGCTTTGCATTGCACTTGGTGATGTATGGCTTGGATGCAGCTGCTCGACCATGGAAACCCATTCCATGAAGCTCTCTGCGCACTGTTCTTGAGCTAATCTGAAGGCCACATGAAGTTTGGAGGTCTGTAGTGATTGACTCTGCAGAAAGTTGGAGACCTCTTCGCACTATGCGCATCAGCATCCGCTGACCCCGCTCCGTCAGTTTACGTGGCCTACCTCTTCGTGGCTGAGTTGCTGTCGTTCCCAAACACTTCCATTTTCTTATAATACAGCTGACAGTTGACTGTGGAATATTTAGGAGCGAGGAAATTTCACGACTGGATTTGTTGCACAGGTGGCATCCTATCACAGTTCCACGCTGGAATTCACTGAGCTCCTGAGAGCGACCCATTCTTTCACAAATGTTTGTAAAAACAGTCTGCATGCCTAGGTGCTTGAATTTATACACCTGTGGCCATGGAAGTGATTGGAACACCTGATTCCAATAATTTGGATGGGTGAGCAAATACTTTTGGCAATATAGTGTATTTATCATGGATTTCTTAGCCAATGTCAAGTAATTAAAAAAGTACATTTTTGGTTGCAACAAAGACATTTTAAATAACGCCAACCTACATTACAAGTGTCAAAATTCACTTAATGACCCTTCATAAAAGCCATAAATATAAAAAAAAAACTCCAAGTTCATGTTATTAATCAGTCTAATGTCAGTCCTGCAAACGCTTTCAGGTAAAGTGGAAAGTTTTACTGAAACAAACTAATTGGTCGAATAAAAACTTATCTAAACCTGCAAAGGGTAACAATCATTTTAGGCGGAACCACATTCTACAGCGAAAACTTTAACGATTTCTTACAAAAACTAAGTTATTTTTCAGGTCCCAAAGCTCATGAAATAGACATCCGAACAGGATGGGTAAAAGTATGCTATTCAATCTGACTTTATTTTAGTTATGCAGTGTTTATAGAGTGTGGTTGGTTTATACTGTAGCTTTTACAAATAAATAGCAAAAAGTTACACATATGCTGCAACTAAAGAGTTTATTTTCCATCTTTATTTCAACATCCAGTATATTTATGAGCTCTCAGTGCTGAAATCCTCCGGTTTAACGGTAAAACTGGTTTCTATGGGTCAGATTTATGATGAGGTGCGTCTATTTTCACTCGTTGGATCTGACAATATGACCCAAACAACTCACCACAGAGGGCCAGATATAATAGGTAAATTATATCTAAAAGTATATTATATTGTATTTCTCATATCTAAAAGTATATTATATTGTATTTCTCATATCTAAAAGTATATCTATATTTGAATATGAATTTAAAAGATGATTTATTTTTTACTTTGTATGTTATCCTGTTTTTCGATTTCACAGTAGTAAGTAAATATATGATTCCTCCTCTTGTTTCTATTGCTTCTAGTAGTGTTTATCATCCCTACATTTTTTATAAGACTGATTCTTTAATGATGAACTGATGGCAAATTCTGCCATCTAAAATCTGATATAACACTGACGCCAAATTGTTTTACTCCTAGACAGCATATGATAAATAAACCATATATTTTATTTGACTAGCGGTAGACCAATACATCCTCTGCTTTCAGACATGCAACACGACAATTTCACATCTCCGGAATGTCAAGTTTCTTACTGTATTTTCCCCACTGCACAAAAACTACCCTGACCACTGAAGCCACAATGTTGTGATCAGATGAAACATGTGAAGTCTGTCTTTTTTCTTTCCTCGTTTCATGTTTTCTTCCTCCATTTCTAGAGAGTAACTGACTCACTCTTCGTTGGGTCAGTATCATATTAATCAGGATGTAAAGTCTGACACAAACAGAGGTTTTTTTGTTGTTTTTTCTACCCATGACTGATGATTAGGATCAGACACATCAGCACGCCTGTGAAGCGCTTCCTTTAACTCGTGAACGGCCGCCACCTCTGGATTATTCACACGCCACATGTTTTGTGGGTGACCAGATTTTTAAGAATGATGATTAGTCCTGAAAAATACTGACTTTATTTTTCTTAGAATAGTCCCGGAAGAAAGAATGGTCACCCTGATGTCTGTGTCATCAAATCCTCTGAGTGATGGACTTTGAAGCATCTGAAGGGGAACACAGCACCCCCTGCTGGACACCCTGCAGTTTGCTTTAAGAGCCACACGGCAACTGTGGCTTTGCAGCATCTCCTGGACAGAGGCGCCCAAACAGCTTGGACTTTTACCTTCAGGTTAGTGCTACAGAAACCCACAGCAGCCACAGAAACGGTTTACATCCAGAGTCTCAAGGTCAGAACCGTGCATATTCACATGAATTCTACTATTGTTGGATTTATTTTCCCCATTTCATTTTCAACAAAATTTAAGAAGTCTTCACTGCAATTTAAGCTTGGCCTAAATTCCTTGCCTATGTGCATATAGTTAGTAAATAATGTAAAACATCTAAAAACTAAGCAAAGTAAGAATTAAAAGAGGTGTGATATCCAGCTGAGTCAAGATTTTTAATGAGGTATTAGAAACTGAGAAAGGAAAAAAAAAGCATTTTCCTCTTTAACAAGCAAATTTCTGTTGAGCTTTGAAAGTCTGTAAAAATCGACAAAAGGAAAGCAAAAGAGAAGCTGGCGAAGGTATAAGATGAAAGGAAAATGAAGACTAAGCAGAGTGGAAATAAATAAAGAAAACCCCTGTTGTCTTTTTTTTTGAAGCATTCCATTGAAATGTATGTTATTTTATGTTAAAGTTGTACGGAAACGGCCGTTCCAATCGTTGCATTTCCAAATTCTCCCAAGTGGTGCACGACTTTACACGAGTGAATAAAGTGAATGTGATTGATCGTTTATCAAGAGGGCGGGATTGTTATGGTGGAAGGTTCGCAAGCAAGTTTGATTGTGGCCGGTTTGTCAGAAGCATCTTGCTAACCAGTTAGCAACTTAGTGCTAGTAGGTTCCCAATGGGAAATTCCATTGGGACAAAGTAGCACTAAATTGGTGACTTAGAAACGACACTGTCAAGGAACGCTATGGACAGAGGAAACATGCAAGAGGAGGAGAGTTTAGTGTCGGAGGTCGTGGATGAGTCTCCTTTAAATATTCTAACATTTAAATATGACTTCCCTATTACTTTAATTAAAGAAACTGGATAAAAAAAAAGTAGGATTATCCCTCAAAACAAAAGAAGAAGAAACTAATTTATCTTAAAAAATTTAAACTTAAACCGAAAAATATTAGTGCAAAGGAAAAAGTAAGGCCTTGCGTGATTTTAAGGACTGCAGATGTTAAAATATTTCAACCATGGAGTAGTAATAAAAACATTTAATAAAAGAAATCAAATTAAATATAAACATATTTAACAAATCACGTTAATTATCAACATGGTTTTAATTCCTGGACTGTATTTCCTGCTTTTCAATGCTAAGAAGGCCCCCAAACAGATGCTATTGCAAAGTATTAAGTTTTATGAAAACTCCTCTGATATAAAATATTAGAAATGTTTGTTTTTAAAACAAAAAAATAACATAAAGCAAAAAGTTATGTTAGAGTTCATAAAGTAGAACTCTAACATTTGATAAAACTACTAACAGTTGTGCAGTAGAGGAAAGGGATGTCTGAAAAAACACTAAAGAGATTTGGGAAGAAAGTAAAAACCAATTAGATTTATAATTGACCTTTTTGATAAAAAAAAAAAAGAATGATTGTATACGTCACTGACCTTATGGATTTATGATAAAGACACATTAAATAAAACTAATATTAAAATGGATGAAGCTGCAGGTAGAGACGGAAAGCTTTAGGATATTTTACAAACTTCCCATCTAAGCCACAAGGCGATTAAATCCTCCTTGTTTACCCTAAATAACTCCTCATGGGAGTCAGTCTAAGAAAGATATGACCAAGGGTGTAACTTTGTGATGAAAGTTGGTGGGGACGCTCTAAGGGTGGGTGCTGATCGACCTACAGTTACTCCACCTAAACGCTTTCATTAGATTTTTATATTTTCCAAAAATGAGCTCAAACATATATTTATTCTTGTAAACTTTGTGGTAAACTTGGAGATATATTTTACTGCATGTTTCATATCCCAGTAAATCTGTTTCCCCTTTAAATCTGCAGCTCTCCCCTTTCTTTAAAAAGATTTATGAACCTCTTTACTAATATAATGATGCCAGAAACAAGATTTCGAGATATGTAGAAGCTCTGCAGCCTGATTCTGTCTGTGCAATAAGAAGATGTGTTAATTTTAACCTGGAACTGGGAGCCATGGTCCTCTGAGAACCCAAGCTTTTTTTAACAAGAACATTTAAACTATATTTTCTCAAGCTTCTTGCATTATTTTACTAACTTGTATAAACTTAGAATCTGTTGCTTTTTTTGCTGAAAAAGCTCCGTATGTTTAACAGATTTTTCAGTGGCGTCTCTAATTTTTTTAACCTACCTGTCTTCTAACTTTTACTTAAACATACATCAAAGTAGCAGCCATTTAATGCTGCTGTGTGTCTCTCCTCCAACCACATAGCTACTGTCTGCGCAGTAAAATGCAACCTCAAATCAGATGTTTCAAAGCGACGGATCCGATGATGTCACACTGGGAGGCGGGACATGGGAGCAGCGCAAGAAAGGAAAAAAAAGACAGACTCAAAACGCTCTGAATACAGTTAGCTGTTCCCAACTCTGTTATCTTTAGCTAAAGAAGATGAGCGGAAAGGGGCAAAAAGCAGAGATTACTGGGGGGGACATGTCCACACCAGTCCTTCAGATAGTTAGGCCTGTGGATATGCCTCAAACATAAACCTTTCAGTTAAACTCTGTCAAATTAAACCTATTTAAACTGTTTTTCTTCCATTTTATGTCACGTCAGACAACTGGAGCTAAAATCCAACATGATTTTGATATTAATATAAATTTTGCTCCAGAAAAGGTAAAAACAACATTGTACAGAGTGTAGCCAAACTGTGCGCTCACCACTCCATGACAATAAGCAGACACTTCTTGCCCTGATAGAGGTTCTCATAAACATCGATGATGCGCACGATATTGGCGCACGGCGAAGCCCTCCAGTGAAGGTCCACTTCCCTGCGTGCTTTGGGACAGTCCTGCAGCATCTGGGAACAGACAGAGAAACCATGAAGATGCACACCCAGCGCAAAAATATATATACATTTATACTGCCCTTTGAAAGCGCTAGATTACTGACAGTAAATATTAAAAAGGATAAACAGAGTAGGGAACTTTTCTTTTGGAAGGTTGAAAGGTTTTTCTCCTTTTATTGAAGTGTTTGGAAAAAGTTTAATAAGTGACCTTTTTATACCAGAAAGCAGCACTAATAAAATAGAGATAAAGGGGAAACTAATGCTTATATAAAGCTACAGCAAACCACAGGTGTGCTGTGATGACACCTGATGGTGAAACATTAAACACATGGGAGCATTTTTCTGTTCAGACTTGTGTGCAAGTAGCCCCCTCTATTGGTGGCACTTTGTCATCACATCCCATTTCAACACTACTGGATGTTTGTTTTGTTTTTTTCAGCTGGATTTAAATCAGTCATTTAACATGGTGCAGTAGTTCTGCTGACTTCAAAGCAATATAACTAAAAGACACAAACACACTTCTGCCCATTCCATAAAACCTGTTTTTTTTTTTTGGTTTTTCTAAATGGATGTATATATTATTTAGACAGCAGAGTAAACAGTGAACAGCGTCATCTGCTGACTCAACCAAAGCAAACAGAGCCATCTGTCTCCTTTATAGGAGCCGGTGAATCAAACATGGATCAGAACTACAAACATTGTTGGTTAACAGGCAGAAAAGGCAGGAAAAAAGATGCTAATGTTAAATTATAGAGTGAACTCTGCTCCACTATTGTTGCAGGCAAAGAACACATGTTTAATTAGAAATTTGGAGAAAAAAATTAAATCTAAAATTTACGGAGCCACAGAGAATCTATTTTCATTTTCAGGACTCAAATCAACAATTCTATCTTCTTTAGACCAATCAGACAAAGGGTTTTCCGTTTTTCTGTTACTGATAAATCAAAAGCTCAACAGCTTTATGTGCAAAATATATTCAAAGATACACTCAGCACAATTAACATTTATTTCAATAAGCAGAAGTAGCTACTGAAAAAACAAACAATAAGCCCCAGTCTGTCTGCTGTGTTATGTCACATTCCAGCCCAGCCCACCAGAGAACGGGCTTCATTCCACCCCGGTTCTTAACAAGACCGACCACCGCTCTATTGGTCATTCAAAGGACTGTTTAGATCAGATTTCTGATACGACCTTTAATGTAGCCAAGGGTCTTGTTTATGGCCAAAACAGCCAAGATAAAAACATTAGAGTTTATCCTAAGTAAAGCATTGAACTTGATTACACATGTTTAAAGTGTCAATGCGACATGAAAAAACCCAGATTGCTGGGAGCTTATTTAATTGTTAGCCATAGGGACTCAAGGAGGTAAAAAAATAAAAAATAAACCAAACCAAAAAACATAATTTCTCATTTTTAATTCACACACAAAAAAAACAAGTATAAAATACTTTCAGCAGATGGCACTGTTGTCCCATTGGGGAGGATTCATCTTCAAGTTACTGCCCCAAATTTCAGCTTATCTTTTTTTTTAAATATATTAAAACCATAATAATACAAATAACTGATTAATATGCAGAGCAATTATGATACACATCAGACATGTTATGATTGGATCTTAAAAAAATAATACTATTTATAGATTTTAGGGTAGCCCAATATGCATCAGATCCACTTTCCCATGGCGCAGCTGGAGCAGCAAAGACGCACATCAGAACTAAACTTGCACAAACATCAAAAAATGAAGCAGGACGCACGTTTCTGCTGCTCACGGTGTAAACGTAGCATTGGGCTCATGCTATGTTTAAAAACATTAAAACTCCCTCATTTAAAAAACATTAAAACTACTTTTTACCCACTGATCCCAGCAAATATAGCTGCCATTGTTACAGGCAAAGAAATGATAGGGTAGCACCACCCAATATGCATCAGATCCACTTTTTCCAACGCCCAGCCGGAGAAGCAAAGATGCTTCAGCCATACGTCAGAACTAAACTTGTACAAGCATGAAAAATGAAGCAGCACGCGCGTTTCTGCTGCTCGCGGTGTCAACGTAGCATTAGGCTCATGCTAGAAAAGCAGTGTCCTGTTAGCAAAACAAAGTTGGGGGGTGTAAAATGTGACATGAGGCTGTTGTCATGAGTCTGCTTTTCTGAAAATTCTGGACGTTAAACATGACGTGTCTTTAAAGAAAGGTTGTTTTATGAAATTAGAAACAAATCAAGGAATGAATTGGATAGTTGGAGTTTGAGTCTAAATGTAAAAAAAAAGAAAAAACTTGCAGTGGATGAGCCCTGATTCTGAGACACTGATAGTTTTGTTTAAGAACATCAGCCACAGCTCTTTTTAACAGGCTTTATACAGGAATGATGAATTTATTACTTTTTAATGCCCTTTGAAATAATTGTAATGCCAACAAGTACCCATGAATCTCATATTTTATTTATATTGGTATTTGCATTTTCCTCAAGCTTCTTTTCTGAACGTACAGCTTTATGATCAACCGGAGTCCCATGCAAATAAATTGCAATATATCTGACGAAATTGTTTTTAGAACCGTATTTTTTTATTTTAAATAAAGCATCTAAATGCCACAATATTCCCATTTTATGAATTTTTAAGCCAATTAAGGCCTTAATTAAAAAAATAATAATTTAATGACTTAACTATTTTTAATGACCAGTCAAAATCCTGTTTAAGAACCGAGGATAGTGAGGTTTTAGACCAAACTCCAAGGTTCAGGAACACCCCTTCCCTCTCTCTGCCCTCCATAGTATTACTCAAATGGTTTTTATTTTGTTTCTTTTAACAAAAAAAAAGTAACTTTTCTGTTTTCTTAGTTGTTTTTTCTGATTGTTTTTTATTTCAAATTAATCTTTCATGTTACTTTAATATATTTTTTTCACAAATTTTATGCTTTCAAACTACTTTTGAAGGAAAACAAAAATCGCACCAATTTAGGCTATGTTTAATAAATCAGTTGCCTCTATAATTTCTTTCATTCTTGGGAAGCACTATGTGATTTTTATCTGTTAAAGGTGCCATTTAAAAATAACAAATAAGATACTGTAACATCTATGGAGTGAGTTTTGTTCCATAATTGTTGCAAGAAGAGAACAGATTTTATAAATGGAAAATTTTTAAAAAACGCAATCGAGAAACAGTACTCTGAAAAATGTTGTAACCAAAACACAGTTTTGAGAGTTACTTTTCTGTTTTTTCAGTTTAAAGATTTCTTTTTTCATGTTTAAAAAAAAAGAAACATTTCATATTTTCAGTTTCTTTTTACTTTAGTTTTTCAGATTGAGTTTTACGAATGGCATTCTTTTTAAATAGTGTTTTACAGATTACATTTTCCTCACTTTCAACCCAAAACAAAGGCTAGCCCTTCAGTAAAAAATTGTTGTTGCTAAATTTCATGCAAACCAATAGAAATGCTTCTTAGTTTCTCACTCCAGATAAAAGGCCTTCCTCCAGAAGTAAAGAGAATGTGATCTGTAAAATGCTATTTAAAAAGAATGTAATATGTAAAAGACAACCTACAGAACACAAAATTTCAAAAAGTAGTTTGAAAATATAAAATCTGTCAAAAACATTATTAAAAAAACATGAAAAATAAATTTGAAATAAAAAAAAGAAAACAGAAAAGTTATTTTTCAAAACCTTTTATGATTAAAACATTTTCTAAAATTTAATTTCTTTCTTTTTTTATACATTTCATTTAAAAAAAGTGTGCTCTTTGATCGCAACAGTAATGAAACAAATCTCCTTTCATATTTTACTGGCCTTTCTGATCACAGAGTGCTCAGCAAAATGCAACAGCTTAAAAGTTCAAATGCCTCAGCTAAAGAAAATAAATGAATGCAAGTTTTGTCAGCTGGATGCAAGAGAGGACCAGCAATAAGCTAGTTAATTAGGTTTTTTCTTTTCTTTTTTTTTAATCAGTGCTTTTTCAATCTGCAACATTTTTTTTTTCTTAATATCATTAAAATACATAATTTGTTTAATTGATCATGTTGACCTGGATAAGTTTCAAAAGAAAGAGAGCATTAGAAGCTCCATAGCTGCATCAATTCCCTAAGGGCCGTTAGCAAAAGGCTCCACCAAATTAAGTTTGTTGGGACAATGTCTGACCTACAGGCCAGGAAGCAAAATAAAACAAAACAGATCAACCCTTTAAGCAGGACAGAAGATAAAAGGCTGCATAGCAACGGTTACCAGGAAGATGTAGTATGGAGGGTTTGGGCACACGTATGTTTTATCTCAACACCAGACATCCAGCACTGATCACCTGATCACCATAGTTTACAGCCTATATATATAAATATATATATATATCCTCACTAAAAAAAAAATATATATATATATATCCTGACTAAAATAAATAAATATATATATATATATATATATATATATATATATATATAATTATTTTTTTTTTTTTTAAACCACACAACAGTTTAAAGCAAAATTTAGTTTGAAAATAATGTGCAGGAAGGATTGAAAAGCATGTTAACACGGTAATGTAGGCTTGAGTTCATTATCTGACGCATGCATATACACACCAGGAACCTGTAAACTTACTGAATTACAAAAGACATTTACAAAACAAACATGTTTCATTGATATATATACAAAAATTAATATTAGGAACTATATATATCAAACATTATACTGGGCAAGTAAAAATTGTTTCTGAGCAAATGGAATGTGAAAGTCACTTGCCCTTTGGGCAAGTGGTAAAACTCCTTAACGTCAACCCCTGAAAATATAAATAAATAAATAAATAAATTAGGGCTGCAACTAACGATTATTTTAAAAATCGATGAATCGGCCGATTATTTTTTCGATTAATCGATGAATCGGACAAAAAAAATTTTTTATATTAACCTCTTTATTCCAAAATAAACATTTTAGACAGAACAAACAAGCACACAAGTACAGGTTGCTCATTAACTGTACTGGTGCGATATGAAAAATAAATGTTTGTGTAAAAACTACGCAAACTTACATGA